CCCCCCTACCACCCAGGTTTATTTTTATTTACTTTGCAATGCGGCAACTCCTTCCTCCTCTCCCCCCTCCCCCCCCCCCCCCTCCTCCCCGCCCTTTCCCCCCCAGATTTCTTTTTATTTATATTTTTTGCAAGAAATTATCTCAGTTGGTACACCCATTAATTGTTTAAATAGGACCTGAGTTGGAATCCAGATGGAACTGGATGAATTAAATTCTATCTCAAGGCTGTTGCCCTTGTTTGTCAGAAAAATGAAAAAGGAAGGAAGAAAAGAAAAAGAAGGGGCCAGAGGGCCAGCATCCTAGCTCAGGTGGTTGAGCATGCAAGTGGTATTCAGGAGGTTGTGGGCTCAATCCCGCATGGCCACCTGCAGTGGGCTTGGTCTCCACCAGCTGAGATAGTAGGCTAGCCCCGCTTGGCCGGTTTTGTAGGAGGCGGTGTGTTCGCCCCCCCTCTTGCTCCTGCCATCTCTTGCTGGGGTTTGGGAGCCTATGCACTACTCCCTGCACGGAGTAGTAGTTTATGAATTTTCATGAACCTATTATATAGGCTGTTACCTTAGTGGATAGACATAGGCTCAGGTCACCTAGCAGGTTGTTCCTGGCATTGTCGATGGGCATAGCTCCCCGATCTCGACCTGGTGGGGTTATATGTGGGTAGGCAGTGCGAGGTATGTAGGTAGCTAGTGTGAGGTGGAAATAATTGACAGAAGAAATTTGAAAAAAGAAGGGGCCTGCGGCCTAGCTCAATTGGTTTTGCACGCAAGTGGCGTTCAGGAGGTCGTGGGCCATGGCTGCCAGCGGCGTGCTTGGTGTTCATCAGCTGAGATAGTCGGCTTGCGCCACCCTGTTTGGCGTTGGTAGGGTCCTGGGTTCTCTCCGAGGCGTTCGCCCCTGCCATTCCTCGCTGGTGGTTAGCGCGTAGGTTTGCCTTTCTTTCGGTGCTGAGGCTTATGGCCCCTGTTCGTGTGCTTATACAAGTAGGTAGGTAGCATGATGTATAATTGAGAGAAGAATACAGCTTAATTTTTCAGAAAAAAATAACAAAGAAAAGAAGAAGAAACTGGGAAAATTATGCAAAACTGTATTTTGAACTAATAGAAAAAATAAAATTGAACGACGGAAGGAAAGAGAGAAACTGGGAGAATCTCTGTTTTCCAATTTCTGAACAGCTGGGCATCCACACAATGGGTATTGAGACACCAGACTTTGACAGTCTGGATGCATGCCCCGAAGTCTCGATTATCAACATGCTGTGAACTGTTTGAGATCATTCTTTTCCTTGCCCCGAAGTCTCGATTATCAACATGCTGTGAACTGTGTGAACCCCAAGCTTTGGCAAGGGATATTTGGGACCATCTCCCCTCCTCTTCCCCTGCCACTCCCCCTATTCCTCCTTCCCACATTGAGAACGTCAATGACAAGAATGTGAAAGCGCTCTCTCCTCTTCCTTTCTTTCTGCTTTATGTTAAGAAAGGCAACGAGAAGAATGTGAAAGCAAGCAGGCCCTCATACTGGAGATGGTAGAGCAATTTCGATCTGTTTGCAGTTTAAAGTTCAGTTCGCATGAATTCAAACTCACAAGTGGGCCTAACGAAACTATCAGCCACTGGTTGCATGAATGCAAAGTTTGTCTCTCTCGCTCCTCTTCTTAATCTGATAGTCTATCTCGCTCCTCTCCGTAATCTGATAGCATTGTGTCTGTAGTCATTGGCGCTTCATGTATGGGCATGATGTCCAGACGTTTTTGGCATCCACTCTACCACCGGTTCATCCACAGAGGTTTACATCACTCCAGCCGCTTCTGTGTTTAAACTTCAAAACCATTACTGTTACTTCTGGAGGACGATACTTTCACAATCACTACATATATAAGTAGCGGAGATAACTTCATCAACGCGGCGAGCCTTGTATGTGAGAGGCACGGTGAAAGTGGAGTCGAAAGAAGAATGAGAAAAGTGAATGGTTTCACTGTGCCCTTCATGTTTGTCCTGTATTTTTAATTTTTAATTTTTAATTTTTGCCGTTTGTTTCACAAAAATTGCGCTCTTTTAGTTCATAGTTATGTGACAATATATAACTATCGCTGATTTCCTGCCTGTGACAAGCAGACGATCAGGCCCCTCCTATCTTTTGCTGTGCGACGGTCCCGATCGTCTGCTGATCATTTTTTCTTAGAAGTTGAACCGTCATACCGGTCCCCTGGTGCACCACGCGTGGTACCGGGCCCGCGTGCCTACCCTGGCATTGCGCATTACCAGGCCCTCGTGCCTACAGGCCAGCGCCGGTACCGTGAACGGTACTGGGGCAATGCATGTGTGGAACATATAGTAACCAACTTCAGCGTACGCACTGCCCCGGCCTCTTGACACTTAGACTACAGACACACTAAGCTACTCGAAGACTTGGACTACAGACACACTAAGCTACTCGAAGGCTTGGACTACAGACACACTAAGCTACTCGAAGACTTGAACTACAGACACACTAAGCTACTTGAAGACGTTGTCGGCTGGACTCTGCGCTGCTCTACGCTACTCTTCGTGTTCTACACACACACACACACACGCGCGCGCGCACATACACACACAGAATGTTGGGGTTCAACCTCCTGATGAGTCGGTGAAAGTCCGACGAAACAGTCTGGCACAACACTTTTTTTTGAGTGCGTAGCAGGGTTGTTTTGGCGCCTACCGCCTACCCCTACCGTAGGCGGTAGGCGCGCCTACCAGTCCGGCTGACCTGTAGGCGGACCCGTCGGCGGTCGGCAGACTGCCTAATTTTTTTATTTTTTTTTTCGATGACATGGTCGTGTGTGGCTTGAGGAGGGCAGCCCGAATCCGCAATAATTTTTTGGGGGGGTAGTGGGTTTATAGGGGGAGGTATAGGGGGGTTAT